GCAGGCCCAGGCTCCCGCAGCGCAGCCCTGCACTGGACCCTGGGCGCTTGCCGCAAGCCTCCTACCCTCCGCTAGGTAACTCCTCTTCCCTCCGAGGACACTTCGCGCCTTCTCTCCCCGAAGACGGAGTCGCTCAGCAACCACGTCCTGGGGTGTGCCAGACCTTTCAGTCACTGCTGTTGCCCCCTCTGGCCACTCTCCTCCTCACCCCAACAGGTATTCCCTCCTGCCTCCACCCAGGTGCGGTCCTTGGCCAAGATGGATTATAACATCTCACCAGTGGTTCCCCTGTATTGCCTAGTCATATTTACCCACACTGTAACTTGAATGTAGCTGCTTTATGTTCTATAATTGATCTCATCTGTCTCATGAAAATGGTGCTGTTTTTCTATAATTCATCTTCATCATGAACACTCACCCTAGTAAACAGCCAGAAACTTAAAATTTTCCAAATAATACATCAGGCTCTTCCGGTTCATATTCAGACATGTACGTTTAACTCTTTCCCAGAACTGGCTCATATAGTTGCCTTAAGGTAAATCTTTCTCCATCTGACGCGTATGGGACATTCTTAGGGTGGGAGGAAGACCTCGGGTCTTGGTGTCTCTGTGGACCCACACTGGTCTCTGCTGCAAGGAGGCAATCAGGTCCCCTCGCTGCCCTGCTGGCGTCCCACCTCTTGGGATGTCCTGGTGGCTCCCATCTCCGGTATCCACGACCCTGACCTTTACAGTCACACAATCCTTTGTCACCACGCCTGCTGTCCCCCCGGGCCTCTGAGCTCCACCGCATCCCTCACAGTGGTATGAACGCACTTCAGAATCCCCGCTGCCGCGGATTCATCTGTCCATCCACCCGCTCCTTCCAAGGCTGTGCTCCAGCCCCAACGTAGGCACAGCCCTAACCTGCATAGCTGTCTCCTCTCAGATTCCAAAAAGGAGCGAGGTCAAAGGCCTCCTGCTTTTAGTGCCCCTCAAATCATTAAACACGCTCAGCTCAAGCCCAGAACTTTGGCCAGCCAGAGTCGGTCAGAACATCTACCTCTCACAGTCCGTTCTCCCTACCTCGGTTCCCCCTTCTTCCCACAGTCCGCCAGAGCTGAAAACGAGAATCTTCCACTTACAATTCGTCCTCCTTGCTGCTGGGAGGCACCTAGGCTCAGTTTGGCCTTAATGATGGAAGAAATATCCTCCTTATCCTACAGAGGAGACTGTCAGAGTTTTCCAGAGGAAACTCTTGATATGGAAACTGCAGGCACCTTAGAAGTTTATAAAACCAAAAGCAATCATAGAGTGACTTAAAAATTCCCCCAAATATTACCCAGTCACAGCTTCAACAGTGAGAGTCTCCTGTGTGCTCATTGAGTCCAGTATTCTTATATCTCTCCCTGAGTGGGGGTTTGAGAATATCCCTGAGTGGGAAGAGGGACCTTGCAATGGAAGTTTGCGTGGTACATTTACCAAAACAAACAGGTAACACAAATAACCCCTCTGTCAATGGTTTGTGCTCCTTCAAACTAGCAATGTGTGCAACAGCAGAAAAAGGGTAACAAATTACTTCAAGTAATGATTTAATAGTCATGTATTCTTTCTCCAATTTACACAGTTCATTTTCTTTTCCACTCACATGAAAAACAAGACAATCCTTAAGGACAAGGAAAAAAAGGCAAGAAGGGCCGTGAAGCAGGTTCAGGTTTTTCTTTCTTTCTTTCTTTTTAAGATTTTATTTATTTACTTTTAGAGAGAGGGGAAGGGAGGGAGGGAGGGAGAGAAACATCAATGTGTGGTTGCCTCTCACACACCCCCGACTGGGGACCTGGCCCACAACCCAGGCCTGTGCCCTGACTGGGAATTGAACCGTCGGCCCTTCAGTTTGCAGGCTGAGCCAGACCAGCCAAGGCCTCAAGTTTCTCTTTAATAAAAATAAAGATGCAAGAGTCATAGACACAGACAATAGTATGGTGATTAAAGAGCAAAAGGAGGTTGACAGGAGGTAGAAGAGGGTCAATGGAGTATAAGTGGTAATGGAAAATAGACTTAACTTGGGGTGGTGAATACACAATACAAGATGATGTATTATAGAATTGTACACCTGAAAGCTGTATGATTTTATTAACAAATGTCGTCTTAAAAATTCAACAAAAATGTAAAAATAAGTAAGAAAATAAATAAAATGCAAGCACTAAAGCACAAATCAAAACACCCAAGGCCAAAGGAAATCAGGTACAATCTGAGAGCAATAAATCATTTGGAGAAATGAAGTAATTATAACATACACCTGTTCTTTTATAGTATCTATCTGGTTCCCAGTTCCTCCCACCATGGAACTGTTTTTAATTGTCACAAACTACTACTGTCATTCCATTTCTTGATTCCAAAGGAACGCAGCAAAAGGGCAAGGCAGCTAGAGGACAATTCTGCTAGACGGTCATAATACAAACAAAGAGTTTACTATGTGCCAGGCATTGAGGCTACAAAAATTTCGATGTATGCTCTGCTCTCAAGCAGTTCAAAACTGATGATGGCTCAAGAAACACATTTTACTCATGATACGGAACAACAGAACCTGTACCCCATCATGACAGACTTTAAATAACGGTAGAAAACTGCATAAAACAATGCACTGAAGTTTGGTTTCTCTAACACTGTTTTCAGGCTGCACTGATTCCCAGGTAGGCGCTTCAGAAACACGACCACCAAAGAGGAACTGTTCAACAGAACACCAATGGCCACAGAACAACTGAATTATAGCCCGGCCATCCAAAAGTACAAATATATTTCTGTGTAAAGTACACAAACACTTCTTTGTTAGTCAGTATAAAAAAATCCATTTATTTGTTTTAGTTTAATTAGTTTGGTTGCTTGGCGTTTACTTATATCCCCTTTCCTATATTTATGTTTGATGGTCTTTCCACCATGTGAGTATTAGCGGGAAGTAGAGCCCATCTTTTCTTAAAAACCAAAAAGGGCAAATACCTTCTCAACTTCCCTTGCAGCCAGGGTGCGGGCAATGACCTAAGCTCAACCAATTCAAGACACCCACTGAGGACCCTGAATCAGAGGTTGGTATCACGAAGAAGCAAGGGGGAGAAAGCAATAACGAGTTTCCCAAGCAGCGGCCACAGAAGCAGTGGCAGCAAGAGGAGCAGCAGTAGCGTCCAGTGTCAAGGTGTTGGTGACACATGCTGCAGAATCCAGTATTTCCAGGCCGCATCAGAAATGACACATTCTCAGGCCCCAAACTCAAGTACTTCTCAAGCACACTTCTGACTGTGGAACTTTCCTTGGTCCCTGCCCATTTTCAAAGCCGAGTTTCCTCCAGACTTTATTTAAAGCAACGCCCACCCTTAGGTATTCTTCCATGAAATGCCTTTTTTTTTTTTTTTGCTTAAATCATTACAGTTCTTGCTAATAAGAAAAATGAGTGATAGCAGTAATGAAAAAATATGGTAAATCAAGAAAGATCCCACCCACAAACAGCTGGATTTGTGTAGTCGATTTTGGAAAATGGACAATTCCACATCATATGACTCAAATACAGCTCTGATAATTCACTGAGTAATTTGTCATCAAGTATTCATTCCAAAACTTTTCTATTCCAACTCCTAAATAACTTGGCAATCTGATTTTTATCTGCAAGATGACCCACATCCTCTCCACCAATTAACAGCATGGGAAATAGCAAGCTCTCTCCTATGGCCTGCCTTCAAACCGCAGACACAGCCCCAAACAATTTAAGAGGACCACGAGCCCAGCTTTCTCTCATTTGCTTGATGACAATCAAACACCTACATCTGTCAATGTCGAGACTTTAAGAGAAAGTCAAGTTTTGAAAGGAACGAATGGCTTTCAACCACACAATTTACAAAAATTTCAAAGCATTCTCAACATATTTTTGTTGTTGTTGTTGCTGTTATGGTTGCTTCAGGAAACAACAGATACAAGTATTATTTGGTAACTTTAAAATACAAAATTAAGTAAATTTCTCAATGATGAGTCCAATAAGGACATAGTAAGATCAACGGTCAAGCTACTGATTTGAGTCTTGTACTTACCTCACCTCCACTCACCCAAATCCCGGGCTAATGGGTATGGAAGACCAGTGAAGGGGGAAAAATCATCCAGCCCATCTCAAAAGGAGCTCTTCTGAGCGTGTAACAGGAGCTCAGTAACATTTGTTCCTTGAACACAATTCCTATGACTGTGCATATATATTACATATTTCCATAAATTGCTTGCACATAACATTTTGCATTGGCCCAGGGCTTCCAGGCGTATAAAACACTCTCACGTGAATTCTCACATCTAGGCTAGTCTTGCCTGCACAGCCTTTAAATGCAAAGCACACCACGGAACCTCAGAAACCTAGGCTCCCACAGCACAGTGTTACCTATTTATTTCAGCATTTCGCATACACTGAATATAACTACGTCTCCCGCTTATTTACTCCTTAAGGAGTCTTAAGAATGTCCGGTTCATCTTCAGGCAAAACACAAAGTGTTCCCTAAACACCAACATTCTTCCGCCTCCGACAAGCCAGATCCTCTCCTAGAGAAGCATCAGCTGGGAGCCTGGTTTACACCATCCCCCGTCAATTACGATTTCCCCGGCCACCCTAACGAAGCATGCCGCACAGGACACGGACTTTTGTTCCCCAGCGCCGTTACCCTCGGCCCAACGCTCTCCCTTAAGTCTGCCTCACCGGCTCCCCCAAATTCCTACCGTAGCCCAACGGGGGTGGCTGTTAGCTGTCCGCCCTGCAGGGACCGTGCCTGGGATGGCCCCAACACCCTCGCCCCCACCCGGCAGCCCAGGGGGTGGCCAGGCGGAGTCCGGCAGCCGCTACGCGTCCCCAGGACCCGCACAAGAGGAGTGCGGGTCTGGGCTCCTCGGCAGCACCGCCGAGCTCCGGCGCAGCCCCGGTCAGGTGGAGTCCTGGGGCGGGCTGTATCCGGGACAGCACTGATGGGATTCAGGTGTGCGAGGGCGCTCCGTACGTACCCAAGGAGGCAGCGGTCGCAGACGACTCCACGACTCCCCTTGCACACCGTGTACGCCAACGGATCTGAGCGGAAGAGCAGCTCTCCGGGGCGCAGCGGCACCAAGGCGCGGAGCCCGTTTCCCCTGTCGGTGGTGCTGAACTTTTCCACCTTCAGTGGCTCCATCCTGCCGCAGCTCCGCACCTCGGACGGCAGCCGCGTCCCGCTGCTGGTTTCTCGCGGGCTGCCGGGAGCCGCGCGCCTGCGCCCTGCGCGCACACGTACGCCGAGGGGCGGGGCGGGAGGGGCCTCCGAGCATGCGCAGGCGGGGTTCCAAAGCGAGCGGGACTCAGGCGCTCCGGTCGGATTCGCCGGCCGCGGGAGTCCTAGGCAACTCGCGGGGACAGGCGATGTTTTTCCCCCTCCAGTATTTTCTGATGACAATTTTATTGCAGACCGAACGTTGAGAAAACAATGCAATGAACACTTTTTGTACCCTCCACCTAGATCAGACAATTCTTGGTATTTAGCCATTTCTGCGCATTCTTTCTCCGTATATATTCAAGTATGTGTACATGCGTATTGTTTGAACCACTTGAAAGTAAGTTGTTGTGTTGTTGAATCATTGGTAAGTTGCAGACATAACATTTCACAACTAATACTTTTACATCATAATATTTTGGTTTTTTGAAGAAAAATAACATTTTGTTCAACAAATAATTACTGGGCACGCACTGTATGTCAGGCTCTGTGGGAGGCACTGGGAATATGGTGAAAAAGAGGAAACAGTTCCTGATCTCAGGGAGTTTATAATGGAAGGGGTGTTGAAGGGGGTGATGGGAGGCAGTTATGGGGGCAAAAGAACAAGAATGAGCAAAACAATTTCAGTGTGGTGTTGCATATCTCCTAAGTTTTTTCCTGTATATTGCCAGGTACTTTTCTGTAATTCGTTTTTTCATTCACTTGTTGATAACGTTTGTTGTGCATAATATTTCATAAATACCATAACATGCATTTCCTCAGATAAGAAGAAATCCTATACAACTGCAAAATCATCCCACCTAAAAAGTTATTCTATACTAGCAAGCACTTTAAGATTGGCTTTTGTACTTTTTTTGAAAACCAGGATCCAATCAAAGGTCCATTTTCTTTTTCATGACATTGGTTTGCTGTTTGTTTTTTTGACATTGACTCTTAAAAGTCCAAGCTAGGGGTCTTGTAAAATGTTTTACATTCTGTACTTGTCTGGCTGTTTTCTCATGGTGTCCTTTAACTTGCTCCTCTACTCCTTGTCTTTCCTGTTAAATGCAGGTTAGATAGATCTAGACATTTGAGTCCAGAGGCTTGATTTGGCCCGAGTGTTTTTTCAGCAAAAACATATTACAATGTATACTGTGCACTTCTTATTGCATCACATCAACTCTGAATGTGCATAATGTTCCACTATTAATAAAACTAAGTATTAGTTGGTTAAAGGGGTGACTGCTATAAGTCTTGTTATAAAAGTACATGTTACCTTTGCAATCAGTAAGCACTCTCTGGGGGGAATACTCTGGCACTATAAGAATACCCTGATTCTCACAACCTGTATTACATAAGAATACAATACAATGCAATGCTCATAATGTCCTATAATAAGAATCACATATTCAGTAAGAGAGGTTTATGGTTCTTTTTCTCAGTAAGAGACTCATTTAACTATTGTGAAATGGAAATCCTGCCTTCCAGAATTCCTAAATGATAAATTAAAAGTTTCAGGTTCCAGATTTCCCATACAAAGACTGCTGAGAAACTGTAAAGGTGAGTGACTTACTGTTTTTTAAAGTTGCCTGAGAAGGACCACATTACCATTTAGATTTATTATAGAAACGGAAGCCCAGAATTCCTAGGCTCTTTGTCCGATCCTGCACTCAACAAACTTGGGGGAGGTTTCTTTTGTATGAAAACAGTAGATGAAACCTATTTTAAAGAGAACTAGAGGATCTCATCAGAATTCATGACATATGGAGTAGAGGTTTCTATACCATAAGTAATATGAGAATCCTGGGTAGGATCCTGAAACTGACCATCCTTCTTCAAGTCTTGGTGAAGATTTGATATTTTTAATGAAAATCCTTACTAATTGGCTTTACAGTTAGCTTTCACCAGGAATCTAAATCAAATTTCAAAAATACACAAAAAATCAATGCTTTCTCACCCTATTTGCTCCATTACTTTCATATCCTTGCTTTTAATGAGCAAATTAAAACCCAGCACATAGAGTGTTGTGCTCAATTCCCCATAAACTCTAATTGAAGGCTGAACACACTATTCTATTAGCAAGAGGTAAATTAAGTAGCAGCTAATGTTTAATCCAGAATTACCCAGCAGTTTTAATAATAAACTGAAAGAAACTTAATTAAGAATCACTGGATTATTTTAGAAGTCTATCGTATGTCTCATCAGGTAACTAGAATTGCTATTTCAAGCCTTAGAATGGTGCAAGTAATATACTAACGATATGGAACAACAGCAACAAAAAACCCTTTCATTTTTTTGATTAATCAAAAGGTGCAGGCTTGTGGCTTGGAGGTCACTAGCCAGAGTCGTCACTTCAGGAGTGAACGTGCTAATTCTCACTAGCTGGGTTCAGAAGAGCCGCCACGGTAATGCAGGAATGGGAAGCTACTGATGAGCGCCATTAAGTAGTACTTACATTAGGACTCTTGGCTGAAAGTGATAAGAATTCCACCCCAAACTAGTTCCATCCCAAACAAAAAAGGAAATTGGCTCCAAGCATCTGCTTGGCTTTGGACACGTATTTAACTTAGGGTACGGCTGGAGCCAGGGGCTGAATGTTACTAGAGTGATGTCTCCCTACTTCCTTGTGTTAGCGCCGCTTCCTCTATGTTGACTTCACTCTCCAGATTTTCCTTATATGGTGGGCAAGAGAAATTTTCCTCCCTTTAGGAAATGGACTTCTGATAATATATAGTCAGATGATCATAGAATATCACAGGAGAGGGCACATAGTTAAAGCCTTTTCATTTTGCACATGCAAAACCGAGACCCAGATAAATAACCTGCTACATACCATTCTACAATTTAGTGATAAGAGGAAAAAAAATGGTAATATTCCATAATACAGAACTTTTTTTTACACTAATATAGAGCATGCCTGTTTTGGTACCAATCACCTTCTGAACTCAGACTGCATTCTTAGGAATTCTAGAGAAAGGTATCAATATTCCAAAAACACACACCTAAAAAGATCCTTAAGTACCAATGCAAGGGTCTCCTGTTCTAACAATTCCAGCTCTTCATTCTCCTAGTCGCCATGAACTTACCTAGAGCTAACTGTGTGGGCAACTGTTTCACTCTTCCAGTGTGAAAACTTTTCTTCAGACACCGGGCCATGTTCCCAATATTCCATTTGCACATTCTGCTAAGCTCATCGGGTTTTGGAGGGGTTCAGAAAGGCCAGGTAGCATCTGTTATCCTCAGTCACCAGCAAAAATAAAAGGCCCCTTGGCAAATATCTGTGTAAGCGCTTAACCCTGATCCACCTGGCACCGGACCTGGATGGCGCTTGTCATCACCAGGAATCACCCATCTCTGGTATCCCACTACCAGAGTGGACATGACTTCAAACCGGCGTTCTAATACTCGCTTCAGTATTTCCACCACCTCCTTCCTGCTACTTTCACATCCCCAACTCCTGTGTGTGTTTGGGTCTGCAGAGAAGCAGATGCTATGACAGGATTAGACATGTGAACGGTCTTTAGAGAAGGAAGCAGAAGGCATGACACTGTGATTGGAGGTCTGACTCTGTGGGAAGAAAGACTGGATAGGAAGTCCTGGGCCACTCAAAATTCCAAGAAAGGTCTAGTCAGACCAACAGGGAGTCCTTGAGCCAAAACTGTCCATGGGAGTTGTCTGTCACCAGAGGAGCCTCCACCCTGCCAATCACATAGCTAGTAACTGGTGTGGAACTTGAAATTAGGTCCACTTCAAGATTAACACCTTTTCTCACATGCCACAGTTAGGGGCCTGCCTTAGTACCTCCGCCATGCCTAACCATTGTCTGGGAACAGCCTGTAGGAAGTGTGGCCTTGCCACAAACTCAGTGGTGGGCTCGGGGGAGAAGCTGGAGACATCAGTCAGAGGTGCTGTCCCCAACCAGAGCTCCGGCCACACCCCCCTGCCTTCAGGCAGCATCCATCCCATTGGGAAGATGTTCAATATCAGACTGATTTCTCACTCTACAAGTAACAGAAACCACTCATATGCACAGACCTAAAGGCTGATCTCAGTACACAACCTTTATTCGTCTAATCGTCCGTATTCTCCATTGCGCCTGTCCTAAAAGGATTCAGTAGTATAAAATGATACCACTATACATTTGGCTTCTATCCTTTGCTCGACCCTCTGCATTATTTGGTGACCCTCCTTAACTCCATTTCTCCCTTAATTCCCAAAGCAGTGAAATCTGTGCTTAAGTTCCCTCTTCCGTTTTGTCTGAAAAGACACTGCCTGGTATCTCTGAGCACATACCACTTGGAAGGCATTAACTCATTTATTTATATTAGAATCCATACTCAACTCCTTTTACGTAGGCTAAGAGCAGAATGTGCTTCTCTGGTTTTTGAACCCCATTCCCTTTCCAAAAAGCCACCAAGTAATAATCCCTGCGAACTATATTTAAAATGTGTCTCAGCTGATATCCTTGTAACCTAGTAACAGAAATTTAGGCTTAAAGCATAGGGCTAGGAAAGAAATAGGTAGAAGTGAGGCTAACTGGCACTATGGAAATTAGGCAGATTATGCAACGGCAGGATAGCGACGGTAAGAGTCAGAAGAGGATTCATTTCCAGCCAGAGTGATTTGTAAACCCATGGTAAGAGCAGGGAAGTCAGAAAGAGTTCCTTACTAATATGCCTTAGATATTATGAAGTGTAAAAACAGCAAACAAATCTATTTTGGGAGATCAGGTATTCTCGGCTAAAATGCAGTAGCTTCTTCAATGATCTAAGAAAATATTCTTAATTTCATTTAGGTTCATGTAAAGATCTAACTTCAGATAGTCTTTCCTGATAGAACAAAAATGCAAGAGACTTTTGAATGACAAACTGAATTATTCACTGAATGTACACTGACTGTACATGACAAAATTTAAAGTAAGTTAAGGTCAATTTTATATTTCATTAGAGACCAAAAAAAGCACAAAATATTACTTAAAATATTTTAATTTCTACAAAGTTTAAACCATAATAAAATTTATTTCATTGCACAGTATTTCTTAATACTTTCGACAAACCGAAAAGTAAAACAAACCACTTAAATGAGAAAGTAAAGTTATTTACTTTCTAAGCTTAAAACTGTATAAACCCTTTGCTCCCCAGAGGATGCAAAAATCAACATCAAAAATGGAATATTTAAATTAATACAATGTAATTATTTAGCTAAAAGGATTTTTAAGACTAAATTTCACCTGGCAATTCCATACCACTACTAGTATGTTGACAGTAGATAGGCATTTAAAATAAAACAAATCTAAGCTGATCAAATCCACAATTAAGGGAAGTTATTATTTTATTCTGCTGTGAATAAAATAGCAGCCATTGTTTTATCCAACGTCCTAATGGTATCAACTTCCGAAGAAATAATCTGCCTTGTTTGTGCAAAACACGAACAGTTACCTTCAGGTGAAAGGATGTGAGCTTTTCAACCTGCGCTCATTTTCCCTTGTGTCATCATTTCCACATAAACTGAAGGGCCCGGCTCCTGTCCGGGCAGTCCCGCTCCCTATATGACCACATCTTCCATAAAGTCATCGTACAGCCACTTACAGGAGTACTCTTTGGAACATTCTACAGTTTCAAAAAGGCGTTTAAAGTCTGCAGGATACATATCTGTTATTTTTGTTGTTCCTTTTTGTCTCATTTTCTTCAATATATCCGTTGCATCCACTAGACTCAATGAACTGCAAAAAAAAATTCAGAGTAAATTTCTTAAATTCTTTCTCATAACCGTCCGTTAATAGCGATAAAGGTAGCTTGTAAGCTCAATTTAAAATGCCAAACATATATCATTAATCTTACTTAGTTTACATTTAGTTTGGTTAATCTTATTTAAACACAGTTAAAAATATAACATGCATCTTTAACTTGGGGAAGGACTGAAGATGGGAGGTGGGGGTGGGTGCGGCAGGGGAAAGTGGTGGCAGGAAAATGGAGACAACTGTACATGAACAATAAAAAAAATTTTTTTAAAAACATGTATCTTTAACTATGTTCACTCCTAAAGTTTCATGGCTTAACTATAATGAAAAGAGCAAATGTAGGTGTTAACATGTTCTAATCAATTCCTACACACAACTCTAGTTTAACATTGCCCTTTTAAAAAGTTGTCTACCTCTTTCATCTTTTCATTCTGTTTACAAAAGTAGTCAACTCCATTTAGGTTTATGTACAAGTTCAGTAAGTTCAAACAGCAGAAACTGCTGTCTGGCAGTTTTCAAAGAAGGAATAATCTTTCACATTTTTATGAAACAATTACTGGTGAATATATTGTAAAGGAAAAAACTACCTTACATATTAGCCTAAGTGAGTGTGACCATAATAAGTAAGCAACTGCAAACAGTATTTTGGTAGAAAAATACTTCCAATACTTTCTGATTTTGAATGGAATTCTCATCACAGATGGAAACACGGTTTTCAATTCAGAGAGATCTCGAAAGGAATTTTTTATATTTTGTAACACAGTTCACCAAATTTATTCCTTAATTTCCTATATTCTTGATAGTTTCACTCAAAACAACCACTACTACAAGGGACAAGATAACAAATAGTGGATTACTTTTACTGGTCTATTGCCACATTTAACAGTTATTGTTACATAAATTTTGTTCAACAGCTCATTAAGCTATATATTTAATGATGATGAAATTAATTTAAATGATTATTTTAACATTTGTTCATCCTCTGACAATACTTGGAATGACTATGGGCTGCTGATTACAAGGTATGATGCGCAACTCACAAAACTGTACACGTCAGCCCTATAAAAAATTATTGTTACATAGATACAAAGGAGGTAGCAACCACTCTAATTTTTATAAAGCTTTACACAGAAACAAAAGTTTTGGTCCAGGGCAGGAAAACGAGGGTGACACAATGATGCATCCCTACTCTGGTTAGGAAATAGAACCAGTGAGGACAGGCAACAGCAAGGTAGATGGTGCATGTGCCACCAAAGACAGTGGCTTTCTCTACCCTAGCCAGTGGCAAGCAGCTAGTTCTCCATGAAGGCAGATCCTGGGCCTATTCTTTAACAAACACAAAAACAAATCGTAGCCATGATGTTTTTTACAGAGATGGAAAAAAATTAAGCTTAGGCAATTATGTGGAAAACATACCTTCCTCAAAATGTGCACCAGGCAAAAGGAAGTACTAGGTTGGCCACAGAGTCCATTATGTATTTGCCAGTACAATGGCTCCAGTAGTGCTCAGCCATCTTTACTGTCATTCAAAACAATTTCGCTACATTATATTGTGACAGCTGTCATATCAGTGGGTATTTAAAAAAAACTGGTGAATTTTTGTGCGGCCATTTTAATATTGAAGATGGAAGAAGATAACGTAACATTTTTGGTATGTTATGCTTTATTACGTCAAGAAAGGTGAACACACAACTGAAACCAGTATTTGTGCAGTGTAGAGAGAAAGTGCTGTGCCTGATCGAACGTGTCAAAAGTGGTTTGCAAAGTTTCTTGGTGCTATTGACATTCTGGGGAAATAATCCTCTGCTGTGGGGCTGCCTTATGCATTGGAAGATGTTGAGCAGCACCCCTGGCCTCTGCCCACTAGAACGCAGTAGCTGGAGATGGCTGACATACTCAAAATATCCAAATCAGTAAAGTTATTAGTGAAAATGATAAACGTGTGTTTTATTTTATAGAAAAAAACATATGCACTTTTTGGCCAACCCAGTATTTTGAAGAAATAGATGAATGGAGACATGGTACCTCACTGTTAAGTGCAGTATACAAGATATAAAAATGGACATCTAACATTTTTATGTAACTCAACACATTAAATTGCTGTTTTTATACAGCTTTTATTCTTCTTACTTACTGTAAGTGGTCTATTAGCTTGGCATTGCGCTTCAAAAAACACTGCTTTAACATGTGAAAAAATACATCATAGTTAACAGGTGTTAAATTTTGTGTAAATAAATTTCTACGAGGAGTGAATTGAACAAGACATAGGTTTTGTTGTGTTTGTTGTTCTAACGACTCCTGGAAAGAAAGGAAAATAAATTGTGTTAGTCATAAAATACTGCCAGAGCAAGACATTGTTCATTTAACTCATTCAAGTTACCTGCTGGAAAAGGCCATCCCCACAGACCCTGAGTGTCCCTGTATGTTCTCATGGGCTGTGCCAAGAATGCGGAGCCCTAAGGGCTCTTTCCTGGGCCATTTCTCAGGGCTGCCTGCAGCGAGTCACCTGGAGGGATGGCGTTTCTCTCTCCAGGACAATAAGTAGGCCTGCTTAACGTCTGCCATTGAAGGGGTGGGTGCCCCAGGCCCGTGCTGTTCCTCAGCCGCACTGCAAACCCTCCGCAAGCACGCCATCCCACTGTGCCACATCACACCACCCTGTGGGACTTGGAGGCACACGAAATCTTTCGTCTGATCCAGGGGTCTGTGTCTTTGGCCACCATCCATAAAGGATCACAGCTTATTACCTTGTAAATACTGTAAAATCAAATCCCAAACATGACACTAACAGGTACTGAGTGTCTTCTATATTTGAAGCACAACACGAGATCCTAAGACTGAAAAAATACTATTGCCACATAATTTTTAATTGGATAATTTTTTTTAAAATATGGGGTTAGCAAGCTATGGTCCGTGGCCTGCCTCTTTTTGTAGCCTGGAGCTAACAACAGTTCTCACATTTGTAAAGGATCGTTTTTTAAAAAAAAAAAGTGAAAACCAAAAAACACATAATAGAGACTGTATGTGGCCTGAAAGCATAAAATATTCACCAAATGGCAATTTACAGATAAAGTCTGCCACCTTGCTCCAATATACAATATCACACAGATTAAAATGAAAACTATGTATGATTTGATCTAAGTTTAAGACATGTTTCCCCCTAAAATTATTCCTCAGAAAAAAGGGAGACTTATGTTTCTTTAGGAAATCTCACATGTGATCGCTTAAATGCTTTATTTTATATATATTTAAATATAAATAATACTTAAAATATATATTATATATATTTAAATATAAATTCTATTTGTGGGAAACATAATAGCTCCCCCCAAAAATTATAATCAATTCTGGTTTCTAGTTTTGGATGCCTACAGCTTAAGGAATTGGTTAAAAGGACAGCAATGAAATTCAAAAATATCTAGTAATTATTAATTTAGCAACAAGAATAACACAACTCGAAGTATTATATGTTGCTGTTACCAAGTTTTTGAAGATACTTTAAAAAGCAATTGGTAAATAGCTTCGGAGTTAAAGATACACATTTACCGATAAATAGGGAAGAAAAACTTTCCTAATGCTAAGTGAGTACTCATTCGCAACTTGGGGAAAAAGTCCCGATGACAGCGTGACAACACGGCTTCCCAGAAGGGTGAGAGCGCAGACTTGGACGACGTGCTCCAGAAAACTGCTAACCGTCTCACAGCGCTTCCGCGGCAACTACTAGCACACTGATATCAAAGGTGCATGTGAAATAACTGAGTAAAATTCTCTCATGAAACATGGCATTTGGTTATTTCATCTTTACCCCTAAAAATTTATATAGTTATGTCAGCCAAAAACTTTTTAGCTCTTGTCCTTGTCGTTAAGAAAAGTAAGAAAATGTCTTATATACAGAGTTGTTCATTTGGGGGATTTTTGGATAAATTCCTAACGGTATCCAGACAAAATGTGTAACTCCTATTAGATTGTGCTTATGAAGAGTAAAAGAGAACTCAGATCACAACGATCACAACAATGACTGGTCACTCTAAAATCAGACCATTGCTAAATGGACAATTTCCCTTTTCTCCCTTTGGGGGCACGAGTGGGAAGAGAGAGACGCCAGCGGGAACCTCAGACTGGGGCGGGGCGCTGGGATTAGGGCACCGTTAGTGCTGAATCCCAAAGGGGAACTTTCAATGGACTGCAAAGATTGTTTCTGAAACTTCAGCTACTTTATTACAATTTCACTACGAGCACCCTGATATAAGTTAAATAGAGGGTTGCTTTATAACGTCATCTCTTTGGTTCTTTATAAAAGGGGAAAAAACAAATGAAAATAAAAGCCCAACCTCCTGGGTAAGAAACAGATGTACTTATTGGTAAATTCAACCATTATGAGAAGCAATATTATAAATTTCTGGTTAATAAGGTTTAAAATTTTGTTTTTAGTTTTCCAAATCAGATGAAGAGTAAAATGATTGTTTTCCAAATTTGGGATGTACCTTCATTTCAAGAGAGATAAAAATCGAAGTCAGGCTCTGTGTAAGTCTATTACTATGCTCATCCTTCCAAAATAATTTGAATGTATTAAAAGTAGTAAGGTATCTTTAAAGAACATTTCCAGATATTCTGAAGTTAAAACTCTAAATAAATACAGAATACCAGATCATCTTAAAGAAAACAAAGGATGTTCCACTCAGGAAGAAACAGAAAGGTGTTTTATTCATTCTTACCCTACAGTCTGGCTTTTCCCGGTGCCCACTGCGCGTGTATTTATCAAATGAGGACCAAGGCTCCTAGAGGCAAGTTAAACAGAAACATCTCTTTCAGTTCTCCTTAGTCAAAGTGCCCTCAACTATTGCTGCCTTTAAAAATGACTTCCCTAAACAGCAGAATAAACACTAGTCACCAATCTAATTGGCTTAAAGAAAAACATGTAATAGTTCAATCATTTCTCTCTTTTTTGATAAAGGAAAGGAAAATCAAAGGTCTATCCCAATATTGGTAACTCTTGTTACTTAAAGTTACCCTTAATATGATTACACAAATAGGTTCTCAAGTTATAATTTTTAATAACCAACATTTCAATTAGTCACCATCAGTTTAGGGGTGATCTGATCAATACTGAGGATGTTTTTGTCCTAACCTAGTGGAAAAGCCTATTATTCAAATTCATTTGAACGTCTTAGGACATGTAAGGAGATACACAAATAAAGATATTTCTGTCTATTGTTTAAAATAGCATTACTTTTTTATATCTAACTTTCGTATGTACAATTACATGCGAAGCAATTTTTTTATTATAAAAATATATACACACACAGATTATATTCCAAAATAAGAGTGAGTTAAACCAGCATCTGACACAGACATAAAGACTAAAACTTACAATATTGGACATAGATTTGAAAGGGTATTGTCAAAATGGTAATGTATTACTAACCACTGTGGCAACTGAAGTAGAGTGAAAAATGGAACTGCTGCTCATCTGTGAAACTGCTAGCAGTTCCAGAGTGTCACCAGATGGAGGAAGGCAAAGCAGCAGCAGTGCGCAGTGGGTTCCAGTCTCCCCCACCCTGGCCCCACCCCGCCCCACGCTCAGGTCTATCTAACAGCACCGGGTGAAGAGGAGACCTTATCCCATTGGCAAAGCCACAGGAAAGGAAACCTGAAACGCCGTGGGAGCTGAGTTCCACAGCTGACCCTCCAGTTGGAGGTGTTTAATGAGCAAATGTTTAAAATGCTGGGTTCACAAAGACCTCTCCTTTTGGAGGTTAATAAATGGCAAAACTCAACATGGGTCCTCTGCAAACAAATACTGCAGAACAAGGAAAGAAAACTGTCCTGAAGGCTAGTCCCCAGGGGCCTTGATGAGGAAACAACTAGAAAGCCACAAAGACAGAAGAGGCTGCAAAGAAGAACTTACAAAATGAAAGGAGATCCATGGCGGGAGGTGAAGAATTTTACAGAAACCAAGAACTACATACCAGGTGACAATATACAGGTGAAAGGCAGGGTCAGGGCAGTGAAGGCTAAGTGTGAAGGGATTTCTGGGAATACAAGAGCGCGCGGGCACACAGACCCGAGAGACAAGGAACAGACATGCATCGTAGAACCTCAGATGTTCTGGACGGAAAAAACCAACCCAAACCTAAGCTGAAATCAAACAAGCTACCATTCTGAGAGTGCACATTACAGGGCTTAACGTGGTCCCACGCAAAGCGACAAGGGGGCTCCAGGAAGACACCCTGCAAAATTTAAAAAGTAAACTACTAAATTCTTGGAAGAACAGGGCTCCTGAAAATGTACGATCACACACCATATAAAGACTACTTGACAGATACTCTATCTACTAAAATAAAAGAATATGCAAATGATGGTATGAAAGAATAGCCTTTGTCACTTCTCTCTTACACTCCCGCCCTCTGCTTCTCAGTGTCACCCCGTCACCAGGGCTGCTGCTCGCCTGAGATGAGCCTAGTCTGCACTGAGGTGGCGCAAAACACTCCCAGGGTTTCCAAGGCTCGTACGCACACAGAAATCTGAATTATGTAATAACTAATTCTAAAATATTGATTACATGCTAGAAAGATAATAGTTTGCATTGAGATTAAATAAAATATTAAACTTAATTTCCTGGTTTTTTTAATTTTTATAATGTGTAAAATTGCATATGGGGCTCGCATTATATTTCTCTTGGACAACTCTGGTTTTATCTATGACACAAACTAAAAAACGGGGGGAATGATCTATAATAAAGTATTAAATAGCCATTAGAAATTTAAAATGTTCAGTGACAAGGGAAAATAACTTGTAATTAAGCATTATCTACGAAGTGAAAAAAATAAGATAAAAATAATGTAATCTTCACTGTATAAAGAAAAACAATCATAGGAAAAATAACAGACAAAATATATGTCACAAACATCACTAGTGACCTCTGGGTGGTAAAAATATAGGATATTTTTTTTTAATTCTTTTCTTTCTTTTTATGTCTTAAAACTTTACAATGAACATATATTATTTTTATAATCAGAGAAAAAACAAATATTTGTGACAAAAACAGCAGCACAAAGTTACCTGGCCCTACCCTATTCCACTGTTGGGAAAAATAATCAATTTAATCTGGAATTTTTCTCCATTCACTGGTCACTGAAATGTAGTCTCTCTGACAACAATAAAGTTTCCTGCTGAAATTTAAAAGGGTTTTACTCACCGTATGCAGCAGATTAATCTCACAAGCTACTTGCCACAGGACACTTAACGCTTGGTACAGGTTTCGATTCTGAGGATTTGCCATTATCTTCTAATAAGAAGGAAATAGAAGGTACTTGTTATACAAAATTACAATCAATCAAAACCAAATGTGGTCTTAATAGTAATATCTTAATATTCTCTAGAAATTAGAGAAAGTTAAAATTAAATGCAAAATCTTAGCTGTTAACCATATCAAAGAAGAGAAAGGCCTTTTAAACTTTCAAAATATATCATCACGTACACTTAAAACAGAATATATTTGAGATTGATCTTCTTTAACCATTTCTAACTCATCAGAGCAAAACCTCATTAAAGAAAAAAATGAAACAAAAATGGGTAATTACTATGGAGAGGGACACAGTGTACTAGAAACATGTACCAAATAGTCTATTAAATTTTGAGTCGAAACTGTTTAGGATGACACTTGAAACGTTAAGACGTTACCCCAGTGAATGAGAGGGCACCTCAGAGATAGGACACGACACGTGAAAAGATCCGCGGTAAAAGAAGCATCACAACATTTTCCAGGCAGCAAGATGAAATCTGACGAAGCATTTGCTATTTCTCTTCCTTTCATTCTTTCAGTGTATTTACTGTATGTGCACCTTCAAGGCTCTGAGGGCCCTGCTGTCCGTCCAGAGATAGTCACTATTCACTTACTTCAGGCTTTGGTGAGTAAAGCACCCCTTCACTTCTTGCCCCATTAGCCTACCCCATAGCTCCGTCATATACAAATAAGCATCTCCTGTTATGCTGAATTAAAAGATTAATGATGGGAGGCATCCTGGGTAGAAAAGAAACATCACTCTCAAAGGAATATCAAGGTCTTCATATCAGCAAATTAAAAGTAGAGTCTAAAACTCTAAAGATTGCACACAAAAAAACTGTTAGAATGAAGGAATTCAGCAAAGTTGCAGTATACAAAATCAACACACAAAAAGCAGTTGTTTTTATACACTAACAATGAATAATCTAAAAAGGAAATTAAGAAAACAATTCCACTTGCACTAAAAACTATAAAACACTGCTGAAAAAAAATTAACAAATAAAAAGACATCCTGTGTTCATAGACTGAAAGATGTAATATAGTTAAGATGTCAATACTACACAAGTCATCAACAAATTGAATGCAATCCCTATCAAAATCCCGAAGGGTTTTTTTTGCAGAAATTAAAATTCACCAAATAACCTAAACAATCTTTAAAAAGAACAAAATTGGAGGACTCACAATTCCTGATTTCAAATCTTACTACAAAGTTACAGTAATCACTGGGGGAAGGGGAATATAAGGGGACTGAAAGATAATGTAAGGAAAAAAGATTAAATTCAGAAAGAAAAAGAACAAATGTACAGAAATCAAAATAATATGGTACCGGCATAAAGACAAACATATAGAACAATGAAGTAAAAGAGTTCAGAAACAGACTCTCATGTACATTGTGAAGCGATTTTTTCAATAAGGGTGCCAATGGGGAAAGGGTAGTCTTTCAACAAAAGGAAGTAGTGGGAAAACTGCATATTCATTCGCAAAAGAATGAGGCTGGGCCTTCACCTAACATCATATAAAAGAAAGTAATTCAGCCCTGGCTGGCGTGGCTCAGTGGACTGAGGGCTGGCCTGCAAACCAAGGGGTCACTGGTTCGATTCCCAGTCAGGGTACATGCCTGGGTTGCAGGCCAGGTCCCCAGTAGGGGGTGTGCAAAAGGCAACCACACACTGATTTTCTCTTTCTTTTTCGCTCCCTTCCCCTCTAAAAATAAATAAATACAATGTGTTTTTTTTTAAAGTCATTCAAAATGGGTCGAAGACCTGAACATAAGAGCTAAAACGATAAAACTCTTAGAAGGAAACACAGGGGAAAAGTTTTGACATTGGACTTGGCGTGATTCCTGAGATGACACAAAGGCATAGGCAACAACAACAAAAAAGACAAATTGGACATCATCAAAATTAAAAACTTTACGACTCAAAGGATACCATAACAAGTGAAAAGGCAACCCATAAAAAGGGAGAAAATATTCGCAAATCACATACCTGGGAAGGGATTAATATAGAGATAATGTAAGGACTCCTAAAACTCAACAACAAAAAACAGACAACACAATTCCTCCAGAGAAGATACACAAATGATCTATAACCACATAAAAGATGCTCATCATCCCTAGTCATTTAGGAAAACAGAAATTCAAAACCACAATACCACTTTAAATCATTAGGATGGGTATTATCAAAACAAAACAAACAAACAGAAAACAAGAAGCACTGGAGAAAATGCGGTGAAACTGGAGCACCTGTGCACCACTGGTAGGAATATAAAATAAGAGCCACTACGGAAGACAGTACAGTGGTTCCTCAAAAAATTAAAAATAGAATTAGCATATGATCCAGCAATTCTACTCTCGGATATTTACCCAAAATAACAAAAGCAGGGAGTCAAAGAAATATTTGCACGCTGATGTTCATAGCACCATTATGCATAAAACCAAAAAGGAGGTGCAACCCAAGTGTACACTGACAGATGAACAGATAGACAAAAAAGTGGTGTATGTATAGTACAATGGAATAAAATTCAGCCTTAGAGAGGAATAAAATTGCTACATGCTACAAATTGAATGAACTCTGAAGACATTATGCTAAGTGAAACAGGCCACACACAAAGTGAAATACTGTACAATCCTACTTATATGAAGCACCTAGAACAGCCCAATTCAGAGAGACAGCTGCCGAACAGGGCTCACGGAGGGGGCCTGTGGGGTCAGTGTCTCATGGGTGCAGAGTTCGGTACCGAACAGTGAACAAGTTCTGAGAAGACACAGATGGTGCTAACAGTTGTACCACAATGTAAATGTACTTAATGCCACTGAACTGCACACTTAAAAATAGTGAAAATGGTATATTTCATGTCATGAGCCCAAATTAAAACCACGCAGATTATGACTAGAGAAAAATCACAAAACCCTTTCCTGACAAAATATTAGCCAACTGCTTGTTAATAACCCACCTGGCAATCCACTTCCTTAACGAAAAAATTTAGCTCTACTCGTCCATATCTATACAGAGAAGTACAGGAATATATGTCATGTAAAAATTTCCAAATCATCTTTTTCTCATTTTTAGTTGGGAAGATTCCAACTACTTTTAAAGGGATACCTGTTAAGAATACAAACAGAAATATATAAGTCAATGCTTTACACTTTCTCCAGTGACCGTATTTTATTGAGTCAAACTAGGTTAACCGTATTAATTTTACTTCCATTAAAACTAAGCGTCAGCACAGTGCCTTGACATCAAACTCGGCCCCAGCACAACTGTTTGGGTTATCTGTGTCTAGGTGTGAGTGGAAAGCAATCTTCAGCTCAAGAGCATCTGCCCATAAATTACAGAATATCAATTGCATACAAATCTGGTCAACAAACGGCTGGAGCACTCTAAAGGCTGGCAAATTATATGGTATTTGCTTTAGTGAATGACAAAATTTACCTTTTGACCAAGGAAGTGTTTCTATTGCCAAATTCCGAAGAAGCACCCGGGAGTCCACGGTAGGTTTTACTATTCCAAAACTTCTAGGATCCAGTTTAAAGAAGTCACAGTGGACCACGTGTAGTTTCCCACCCAGCTTTTTCCCTAGGGACTAAAGAGAAGCAGAGATAAAATGTTAAGAAATTTCAGTGTTATGATACATGTTTGTAACAATTCAAAGATCTACTTCAAAAAATAATTCTTACCATAAATGTTACCACCTCAACAAAGATGTAAATGAAAAATTACTAATATACCCTAAAATTTAAGAGTTACTACAAATCAATTAATGCCTGAAATATAATGAAAGTACAACTATCTTAATAAGAATAAGCCCCCCCCCTCAAAAAAAACAAAACACCTTCAACAAATCATCCTTATCCTTTTGCTTTCTTTACTTTATTCTCAATGGCATCATCACTGTTCCAAAAGCTCCTTCATGCTAATCTCTGATTCCTTAGTACAGGCTGCCTGGGGCCCTGGGCGAAGATTCTGAGAACAGGTCTGGGCTCAGAGAGCTGTGATCCATCTGCCAGTCATGGAAAGATATTTCACAGTTGACAAAAGCAAGAAAAATATTGAAGGGAATGGCAGATGACTCAAGAGAATATTCCTTTTTTTTCTTGAAGAGTTTAGTTAGTCCTTCACCTAATGAATTCAGCTCATTGTGCAGGTCACTGTCCATTTTCCACTTAGTTTTTCATTTGCTTTTTCTAAAGACAGAAACAAGCCTAGAAGAAAAGCTCCCTGTCCAATGGAAGAGGTCCAACATACCTCAGTCCTTCTACGGCTGTGATCTGCTCACTTTGCAGTAGTGCTAGGGAACTTAGTAGTGAGAGCAAGTATTAGCTACAAGGCTTCCCTAAACGTAATTTGAAGTTACAAGAAATCAGTTAAAACAGGGCAATATGCTTTGATGTGCATATTTAGGTTCCCATGCACAGAAACTTCTATTGGTATTTATCAAGGTTTCAATAAATTTGCAATTTAGCCCTGGCTAGTGTGGCTTAGTGGACTGAGCACCAGCCTGTGAACCAGAGCTGCTGGTTTGATTCCCAGTCAGGACACATGCCTGGGTTGCGGGCCAGGTCCCCAGTGGGGGCACATGAGAGGCAACCACACATTGTTGTTTCTGTACCTCTCTTTCTCCTTCCCTTTCCCTCTGTCTAAAAATAAAATCTTTTTTTTAATTTGCAATTTAAAGTTATAAATTAAAAATCTAATTTTTCTTAAGCATATAAGTTCAAACTATAAATATTATTCAATTTCTAAATCTACATTTCAATGATACCTTTCGAGAGGACCCTGGAAAAAGACTGGTGGAAGGACCGAACTGAGGGTGGAAATCTTACATTTTTGGTCATGTTAGTTTTGAGATGCCTATAAGGTGATCCAAGAGGAGGTGCCGGGCAGGAAGCTGGGGGCCTCAACGGGGAGGTCAGGAGAGTGGCCCAGAACAAGCACAGAAATCTGCGAGTATTTGGCTTGTTGAGGCAACTAAAGCCAGGACTGCAGCTGAGATCTCTAGGGACAAGTACACAGCACTATGCCTGAGGACAGAGTAGCTTCAGAGTCTCATGACAAGACGGTAAGACTAAACCAAAAGAAAGAAAACGAGAAGAATGTGGTGTTACGAAAGATGAAGAAAAAGAGCATTCATATAATGCATACCTTCCTTAAGAACTGATTAAACTCTTACAAATTATTCTATATGTATAGCAATAATCTCACAAATTACTCAAGTTATACTTTAATTTTTCTAACTGAGGAACGCTAATGAATTTTAGTTTGATAGGATTCTTAAAAAAATGTATACTTTATGACTTTATATATTTTTGGTTTAGCACCTGTCATTTACCATTCAGCAATTCCAACACCGTAACAGCCAAAACTCCAGAGTGATTCACTTCACATAATAGTGAATCACATGTTAGAACACCACATGATTGCATTTAGGATTCAAAATTAGGAAATAAAAAGGACAGAGGGAAGACGACCTTTGATTTCTATTTCATTATGTTAGGCATGTCAGTTGATCTTATTTAAGGATCTTATTGCATCAAGATCCTTTATAGGCGAGAATTAACGCAGCTATTTTATATATGGGAAAACCAAAGCTCAGACAGTTTAAATTACTTGCCCATGGGCCTTACAGGTGCTAAGTCCTAGGGCTGAGATTCAGCATGATTTGAAAATACTGTGCTCTACCCCTCTGAAATAAGAGGCAGTTCACCACGGAAGTAATGTCTCTTCAACTGAACAGTCACAGCTAAGGGCTGGCACAACCATTTTCGCAATTCAGATGGGATACATCATGATTTATTATTATGGGACATAATCTGTAGCATGTTTATCTCGAGACACCCAGAGAGGAAAATAAACTGTTCCTACTATAATCTCTGTTTGTGGAGTCCCAAAGATTTTTATCAGGGAAATGGGGAGGGAGGAAGTATAAAGTTAGATAAAAATCCAGAGTCAAGCATCATCCTTTAGAGTCCTCTCAGGTTTTAGGAGCACACTAGAGAGCCCTGGGGAGGCTACAAGCATTGCCTGATAAGAGCACGCCCGTAAAGGTTTTATTTACACGGTTTCTTCTCATTATTCTGGCAGACACATGAATTCACACAAAACTTTATTGCAATGCCTTTTCACTTCGTCTTAACGATGGTTAATAAGCAAAAGAACAGTATTAGGAGCTTAGCTCAAGTTAGTGCTGCGGGGAGAAAGGACTGGGAAGTTAGAAGAAAATAAAAACCTTAACTGGAGCAACAACTAGCAGGCCTTTTATAAAATGATCAACATAAAAGCTACCTTGTTTTTAATTTCCAAGTTGCAATTACAGCTGTCTCTGTGTACTACATTTCGTTTCATGATCTTGAATTTTTGGACAATTTTGTATTATTTTTCCCTTCATGTTTCTGAAATTCCAGATTTTTAATCAATTAAATAATCTGGCTATAATCCTGAATTCTTTTCAAAGCAGTCCGTTATAGAATAACAACCATCTAATGTACGTAGTTGTGTTAATAAGTAAACGAACAGCTGGATTTGGTAGACACTATCATAATTCTTTGTTGTCACCCTGCACTTTTACATTTTACATGATTTCAGGAAGTTGGCATAGAAAAGTGTAAGCTTCCTAAAATGAATGTAGAGATTTATAAAGGAGGGAGAGGAAGAAAGAAAGAGAGGCTGGCGCTGATGCAAGGATCTTCCACTTCACTGTTATGCAATCTTGTCTGTTACAAAATAGAAATCACTGAAAAATCCATCTGACTAATGCCTGCACTTCATGACACTGTATCTGACCACACCAAGTCTTTCTTGCCCCGTACCCCTAAATCCAGAGTTAATACAGTTCATTAATTTGATCCTAGCACTCCAATTCGATTCTAAGCTTATAGGAAGCAGGGGCACAGCAAAGCCTACTCAGATGATGAAACAAGCCTAGAAATACCAGTTATACTCTTTGTTCAAAGTCACTCAACTAGTTTGTAGCAGAGCTACAAGCAGAAAACAAGTCTCTGAAAGCCCATCTTTTAGTTATGCAACAATCACTGGTAGCATATTCTAGTCACTGGAGATGACAAAGTATTTAAGACATGGCCGCTAAAGGTGATTCTACAAAAATAAATTGTGTGCTTAAGTTTACTCCCCTAAACCACTGCAATGGGAACTGATCGAAAAGGAAGTTATTTTTAGAAACTAAAAATATACCTCCAGAGCCCTGGCCCAGTACCTTAGTTGATTAGAGCATCTTTCTGATACACCAAGGTCATAGGTTTGATTCCCCATCAGGGCACAAAGAAGAACCAACCAATGAATGCATCAGTAAGTAGAACAACAAATACAACTCTTTCTCCCCTTCTCTCTCTCTGTCTTTTTCTCAAATCAATCAATAAATAATTATTTTAAATATATATATATATATATATATATACCTCCAAATGTGGAACAAAAGTTTTGTCACTTTCAAGGGCAATCACTCTGGCACCTCCTTGAAGTAATGCTTGAGTCAGGACTCCAGGACCTAGTATGTTAACAGAACAAAAAGATTATTTACAAAAGAAACGACAATTTCTTTCATTATCAAAGAAGTTAGTTACTTTCCATGAATTTTCTAATTTTAAACTTTAAAAAAAATATTAATCCTCACCCAAAGACATTTTTTCCTTGCTTTTAGAAATGGAAAAACACAGATTGGTGACAGAGAAACATCAATTGGTTGCCTCCAGCATGTGCTCCATCTGGGGACCAAACCTGCAACCAAGGTATGTGCCCTGACCCAGGATCGACAAGGCAACCTTCAGGTTTACAGGATGATGCTCCAACCAAGTGAGCCACACCAGCCAGGGTTGTAATTTTAATTCTTACGAACATACCCAATGTGGATATTGCACTCTTTATTTAAATATAAGGAAACTGGGGACTAGATAGTCATGGACTCCAGCTTCATAACCAGGTCAGTGCCACTGCCTGGCTTTGAATCCATGCTGCCAAAGACTGTAAAACCTGTGCTCTTGCCAATTTTCACTACCTCTCAAGAAAAAAAAAAAAAGCAAACAAAAAATGTTGCCTCCAGCCTACTATTTCATCATGGACTATCCTAAAGAGAACTGAGTCTTCATAACAGGAATGGTGCTTTAAAAAGTCATTCTTTGAGAAGCCTATAAATCTAGTGTTCTCAGCATCCTGCTAAATGGTTTAACGGAGATTCACGGAAAAGTAAAATAGAAGTTCTTTTTTCGGGGGTGCGTTGCAATTTTCTTGGGGAGACGGTGGGAAAAGAGGGCATATTCTATCGATATTGTGTGAAGTGCAAACGGCTACGGAAATATTTTGTAGTCTCCCGATAAATACTGACCACAGAGGCTGCCTAAAGGAAGGGGTCCTATACAGCAACCTACGGGTGGTCAATATAAGTTTGCAGAAGTGATGAACATCCAAAAAAATGCGGTCCACGACGGACTCACCAGGATTGCATTCCAGGATGAGCTTGCAAGGGTCTTCTTCCTTCAGCAGGAACTGCACCACGGTCTCAGCCAGTCTCGGACTGGTTAGGTAACGCTTGGACTCTAAGCCGCACTTGGACGCCCGCGAGGGCAATTCTCTGAAATCCTGACTAGGCAATAGCTGCGGCTGGAAGTCAGACAAACCGCGGCGGTTCCTCGCCGGGACGTCCTTCCACCGCGCCGTTCCCGACCTCCGAATGCAAAAACGACCAGCGCCGGAACTGGCTGACAGCGTCAGCCGCGGAGGAAGCCCGGCCACTGGGGCCCACATCCTTACCCTCCAGGGTCTGTCCCAATGTCATCCAGAGCGTCAAAACGTCGGCGAGCGCCCCACCGGGAACACCACGTGCAACATCTCCCTACCACCTGATTAGGAGGGGGGCGGGGAAGCAAACACCGCCGACTGCGTGTGGGAGCAACCCCTCCCACTTGCTTTTCCCTCACTTCCGCTTCCGGCCAGGTGCTGAAGCTTAAGGACTGTGAGTGGACGGATGAGAAGACGGACCATCCAGGCTCTGTACTCTATGGTCGTCCTCCCTCTGCGCTTCCTCTCTAGCCGCTCGCGCTCTATGCTCCACGGTCGCCGGCCTCCCAGGCGGGAGGGGTGCGCAGAGGGAGGCGGGACGAGAAGGCAGAGGTGTCTCCTTTACCCGAGCGGCGGGAGACCCGAGCAAGATCTGTGACAGCTCGTCGGCCGCCATGTCAGCGAGTAGGGCTGCAGATAGCCCCAGCGCCCGGCGGTAGCCCTCCTTTCGCCTCCAGTTCCCAGGTGAGCAGAGGGAGAGCGGGATGCAGGGAACCGACTGGCTTACGGCCGGGGTGCAAAGCCTTTTGGAACCCCTCGCTCCTCCCCTTGAGCTTTCCTCCAGCTGCGCCGCCCCTGCCCTCTGGGTGAGGTGTAGCCCCGTTTCCCCACCTCCGCCCCCTCTCGGCTCCCTTGTTTTCTTCTCTCGGCTGTGTGGTCTGTTCCCGAGCATCGCGCCAATTTCTCTCTCCCTAGAGGACGAGCCCAGAAGTCGTTCCTCCCCAGGCTCCCCCAGGAGCCTGCAGCTTTCCCCCGTGCCTGGGTTCCTTCGATCCTGCAGCCCACAGCCGGGCTGGCTCTCCACCCTGGCGCACGGTTTCTGGTTTCCTACGTACCTGTTCCCCCTCCCAGCACTTTGGTTGTCAAGAACCACCTGGTGTCTCCCCTCCCTTTCTCCCTCTGGGTCAGTATTTCCTTAATTTTTAATTTGCGTGTTGAAAAGATTTAAAGTTAAGACTGGAAAAAAAATGACATTTAAAAGCTTAAAATTCCTTTCTAAGCTTGAAAAGATTAAGACCTTAGGATGCTTATTTTGTTCCCTGTGTAAACTTAGTCAAACATATTATACTGTGGAATGCAATTTAAAAGACCAGTTCCAAACACTAAAAATAGGATGCTCTAATGGAAAATTTGGCAGTCTTTTTACCCACTGGGTAATGTTAGAGGACTCAGTTCTTTGCAAGTGATTTCAGTGTTTAAGGATTATACTCAGAGCTTTACCCATTACCCTTTCCACCAAGGAAGGAAGTGCAGCCAAGCTACTCCCTATTTTAAAATATGTGCAATCCTTTCTGCTTACTGTTTTGGGAGTCTAATTGAGCTTGGAATTTAAATGCACAAGGAAAAGGTATTTGAGGAATGTATCGTGTAGCTAATAGAAGTCTGAAGATTATACTCAGCTGATAAATACCAGATGGATAAATAATTGACAGTCAACTATGACCTTTTTTGGACTATAAATGTGTCAGAACACCAGGGGAAGTATCTAACCAACTGTTGTGGAAGCCCTGCGGACTCATTGATCTTAATTTCCTTAATATTGTTTTTAGGGGCAGTATCCCCACTGATAATTCTCTAGTAGTAACTTTTGCATCCTCTGAATACCTGAGTACCATTCTTTACTGGACTGTCTCCTCTCTCGCTCCTTAAAAAGTATTTTCATTGATTTTTTTCATAGAAAAATCAGAAACACGTTGATTTCCCCCCGCCCCCACCCAGATCCATGGAGGCCTAAATATTTTTAGATCAAAGCAGAATGATGTCTTCTGATAGAGGAAGATTTACTCATAGAACTGTATTGTTGGATTTCTCACTTTAAAAAAATACTTTAAAATATGCTTTTTTCCTTCATTTAACAATAATCGTGCCTTGCATAAACCTCATTGGCTATAATACTGCCACGGCACAAAGCTTAAAATAATGCTTTTTTATTTCATAATGTTTTTGAACCAAAAGTAGTCTGCTCAGCCCTGGAGAAACTGATGTAGTTATTTTCTTTTGGTTTTGGAAAAGAGAATTAGGTTATGATCATTATTTCTGTGTTTACAGTGCTAATAATGTGTTTGTGGTTGAAGGTGTTTGAATAATAAAGAATCTTAAGCATATTGTTTCTGAGGCCTCAGGTCCTGGAAATGAAAAAAAAAATGTCCTTTTTACTTTAAAGATGAACCCTTATAATCAGCTTTTAGACCTACTCTATTAGAAAAACTTGGTTTGTATAAAAACATCTTAACTTTCTTAAGAGGTGTGGTTTCTTACATCCTGTGCTATTTTTGCTTTTTCAAGGTAATCTTTCTTTCAAATGGTGGCAGGGCTAAATGGTCCTGCTGATTATTTTTTCACTTTTCTTAAGTTATTTTTATTACTATCTCAACGTAATTGGTAGAGAAGGGTAAATACTGCTTTTTCTTCTGGCTTTTAAATGGCAATTGTATGTAATTGCGAAATGCCAGATGATAGTTCTTCTTTGCTGTCATGATAGAAAGCCACACAAGCAAGTTAAAGGGTTCTAGTCACATTTACAGGAAAAGAAAAACAAAAAAAGGTGGAATTAATTTTTACTAATTATTTTATTTAATCCTATGTATCATTTTAATATGAAATCAATTTTAAAAGTTAATAATGAGATAATTTTACATTCTTTCAAACTAGATCTATGAAATCTGCTGTATATTTTAACTTACAGTATATCTGAATTCAGACTAGCCACTTTTCAAGTACTCAGCAGCTACATGCCATTAATGACTCGGGCCTCACTGGACAGCAAATATCTCTAGGATTACTGTGGGATTCTTAAGATGTCTTGCCCTAAGAGTCTGGAGTAAATTCTGTGGGGTAAAATTTAATATCCTTTTCCTAAAGTGCTGCCATATTCAATCTGAAAAGTTCTATACAGGAAGAAGGTTCCAAGAAGTCTCCTCCTCTTGGTGTTGACTTTGTTAACAAAGGAGGAAAAACAGGTGTCAAGTGGATCATAAGATGATGGCTCACTCACTCATTTCCTGGGGTGTCATTGTTACATTCATTTACATCTAGATGTCAACAATGTTTCGAGGCCTTTGGGCATTGTATCCATCAGTATTAAGTAGAAGGTAAGGACCTACAGGAAGACTGAACTTTATTGTAAACAGGTGGAGTACCTGCTGTTGTAAACTCATTTTCTGAATCAAGTTCAAGTATGGCTGAGAGTTTTATAAATGTGCCTCTCTATATGATGGTGTTTCTCATCAAAGGAAAGAAAATCTTGAGCAAAATTTAAGAAGGAAGAGGATATGGCTTTTGGCTGTAAAACTCTGGGCCCCTGAGTAGTAGCAAAAGAGTTATATGTGTGTGGTGGTTTAAGGCAATTTTAAAAGGAAAGATGGCAGTTTTTATAGAAAGCTACTGACATACTGGCAAGATAAGTGCATTAAGTTGTTTTTGCACCAGAGGTGGTGGTTTGCATGGAAACTTCTTCTTTTCAGAGCTCTTAGAACTGAAGGGCACCCCGGTTGGAAGGGTGGCCCTGCTGCTAACTGACCTCAGTGGGGATCAGCAGGGACCAGTTCTGGTTCTTATTTTGACCTCTGTACTCTAACCAACTTCCCTAAACATTACTTTAGCTGCACTATTTTACATCTACATTTAATGTCAAATTTCACCTGAAGGCCTAATTAGTATTCAGTGTAATTGAATACTAATTCAATTAGTATTAGAAAAAACTTAGAATAGAAAAAAACATCCCCCCTCCCCAACCTTTGTGGTATAAAGAAATCTTAAACTACCTCAGTAAACTGACTTCCTCTGCACAATGTAGTCGTTATAGACCTGGCACAGTGTTGGCAGTGTGTGGAGCATTAAAGGATCGATGACAGAATTGGGGAGGTGGGTACTCACTAAGTGTTTCTTGTTCCATGAGAGATACGTGCATGCTATATTGGCTAACAGAGTGTTTTTACTGGTATTTAAATCCAAATAGCTATCCGTTGACAACCTTTTAGCTGGATACAAAAGAGAGCAAGTTGGTTTTTTCCTCTAAGTTAGTCTTAGCAATCTTTTCAGTTAGTTGAGGAAGAAAAATTGATAGTCTGGCAATTTTCAACTAAAAATAAAAAAACTCTGATACAATTTCAGTGGCCTCTACAGGGGTGCTGTTTTTATTGAGAAATTAAACACTCGACATGTCTGCGTCTTGATGCTGTTACGAAGCATTCTTTCCAGTCTGGGCCCCCCAGGATTCACATGAATACAGGCTTCGTTTAACCAGGGACCGTGTTCGTTTTTGATGCATTTGAAATAATCCATTTATAATATTCTTTAAAAAAAATACATCATTAGTCCATTATACCTCCGTAAATAAAAATCATGTGTGAAAAAGAAAGATCATTTAAAAATTCTGGTTCTTATAATAACTTGAGATTTCTTAAATTGCTTTGTCACAGTTTTGCGATTCTGCTCTTTAACAAATTCAGAGATGGAAACTTTCTGTCATTGTATCAGTCGTCCCAGTCCTCCCTTTGGACTTCCTGGTTTCCATCATCGTTAGCCGTATAGAAAGGAAACTGTGTGCGTGTCTATCAGAATACTGACAAATCGCGGTTGTTTTTCCCTTTTAACTTCCCTTTTGGAAAGAACTCTAAAATCAGTAAGTGACAGAGGTAGTCACCTTTGTGGACGTTTGGGCATTGACATTTTAATTGACAGTGCCTAGGAGATTTCAGGAATGGACAATATTTTGTAATTGTCATATTTATTAAATTCTCTTATGAGAATGCTTAGCCCGTTTTTCCTGGAAAAGTAATACCAGATTAAATAATTACTTTTTTTTCTACGTGAGCCGCATTTTGAAAACCCAATGAATTAGGTGGCCTTGGTTTCATAATTGGACTGAAGGTAAAAACATTTTTAAATAATTTTTATATTATCGATTTTAAAATAATTTATTTAAAAATACGTGGACTTGATCGTAAGGTGAGGACTGCTGTTCCTGCATATTTGAGAGCATGTCACTTATATATGTGAAAATGTATGTAATCTACTGAAGCCGAGCAGAGTTATTTTTTTACCTTATGGAGCACCAAAGATTACCTTAGATTTTTGTTCATGTGTGGAGAATGAAAACTTTTTATTTGAATCAGGTCTTAGAAGGATTCATACCAAGTAAATGACATGATTTCTTTCCTCAAGGTCCATTAAGATGAAAAGAGGAATGAAAGTTGGTAGAAACTATGCTAATCAGAAAATTAGGAAATTTAGTTTCCTGGAAAAGACTTCGTTTCTACCCATTTGTGACTTCTCAATCCAAATTCCGTCTTCGGGCTTTGTTTTTTTCCAACAATTTACAAATAATCACTAGGTGCCTATGTTCCAACAGTTTTTTACAATTTTGTGGTGGAGATTTTTGCCACACCAATTAGAGTTATATCTCTAGCATTGGATAACTACTGTAAACAGCCAAAGTGAGAAGCCATATTGTGTGACTTTCT